AAGGAAATGAGAGATCCAGAGGCAACTGTAAATCTTGTAAGTCCGAACATTCAGCGGATAACTCTGGCAAGATACTTCTCTTAGCGCTGAAATGAATTGGCAATTCAGGTGAATTCAGAATCTGTATAGAATTGGTGCAGTTGAGCAGTTCGACAATGGCTCCAAATGTCACAAAAGGAGAAGTTCTGCTGGAAAAGTGTATTGAGATTTTCTGTGGGTGATCTTCATTTATTTCTTAATTTATATCATTAGTGATATCCTGCCTTTTCCCCTGACAGGAACCCAAAGCAACTTACAGCTAAAATAGAAACAGGTGAAACATAGAGGGGAAAGCTTTCATTTAAAAAACAACATTTAAACATTTGTACACACACAAACAGGGACGCGGGTGGCGCTGTGGGTAAAACCTCAGCACCTAGGACTTGCCGATTGCATGGTTGGCGGTTCGAATCCCTGCGGCGGGATGAGGTCCCGTCGTTCGGTCCCAGCTCCTGCCCACCTAGCAGTTTGAAAGCACCCCCAAGTGCAAGTAGATAAATAGGTACCGCTTTATAGCGGGAAGCTAAACGGCGTTTCCGTGTGCTGCTCTGGTGCCGGTTCGCCAGAGCAGCTTCGTCATGCTGGCCACGTGACCCGGAAGTGTCTGCGGACAGCGCTGGCTCCCGGCCTCTAGAGTGAGATGAGCGCACAACCCTAGAGTCTGTCAAGACTGGCCCATACGGGCAGGGGTACCTTTACCTTTACCCTTACACACACAAACATATAGATCACTACAATAAAAACAAGACAGCACTAGCCCTTTCAAGTCAACAAGGAGGGAGCCAATCTAATTCTCTAGGAAGGGAGCAGCCAAACTCTGGGAGCAGCCACTGAGTAGGCCCTGTACTGCGTCTCTACCAAACATGCCTTTGAGGGTGGTGGGACCAAGATAAAGAGGCTCCCCTGAATATCTCAGAGCCCAGACAGGTTCATGTGAGGGAATATAGTCTTCTGGATTTATAGACCTATTCTGGTGAGATGAGGCTGAAATTATATCCAAATGATCAATGAACACATAAACCAATTTGTGCTGTTTCTTAGGAACTGAATGTGTCGTGCAATTTTGATGCCTGCATGGCTAACCTGATTTACATCGGATAAAGAAAATCATGTATAAAATATGTAGTACAGAGACCTTCGGGTGTTGCTGGACCCCACTGCCATCACCTCTCACTGTTTGCCATACCGACTAGGGCAGCCAAAATTCAGAAGGCCACAGATTCCCATTTCTTGGTGTAGCAGTGCAGGTTTTTACCACTTGCAGGAGTGTTGGCAAAGGTTGCAGGAGACGTTTTTGAATAGCACTCTCTTGGAAGAGTTGATGCTGATCATCCCAAAATGAGCCATTCTAGGGAAACGTGTTTAGTGTGAGCTGCTGCTGCCATGAACATTTTATCACAAATTACTACACAAGCGTGAATGTAGTGGGAAGGCGTGGAAAATGAAATAAAAGGCATGGCTTGGTTGCATCTCCCAACCAAGGCCACATGACTGGCTGCTGTTTAATGGAGTTCTGTGGAGACCTTTTTGCTACATGGCATGGATGGCGGATTCCCACAGATGCAAAAGTTGGAAAAGTTTAGTGCTGTGGATTTGAAAGGAAGGCTCTTTGGTGACATATTTTTAAAGAGTGTCTGCTTAACATAAAGAACCTTTCTCATAAAAGTGTTTTTGCTATTGAAGGGAGGAGTGAAGGGTAGGAGTGATTACCTATGGTAAGTATCTAGGGAAAGAGTAGAAACAAGTGAATAAAGAGGGGCGCTGTGGGTTAAACCACAGAGCCTAGGACTTACTGATCGGAAGGTCGGCGGTTCGAATCCCTGCAACAGGGTGAGCTCCCGTTGCTTGGTCCCTGCTCCTGCCCACCTAGCAGTTCGAAGCACGTCAAAGTGCAAGTAGATAAATAGGTACCGTTCCAGCGGGAAGGTAAACAGCGTTTCCGTGCGCTGCTCTGGTTTGCCAGAAGCGGCTTAGTCATGCTGGCCACATGACCCGGAAGCTGTACGCCGGCTCCCTCGGCCAATAAAGCGAGATGAGCGCCGCAACCCCAGAGTCGGTTTACCTTTACCTAACAGTGTAGCTGCACATCTGAATTTGGAAGTAAAACCAGTGTTAGTGGAGATGCAGAAGTTTCAGATGTTCCCAGCCCTTTGTTCCACTCATTGTCACTCTGAAGATCGATTTCTCACTCAAAACATATAATTAGGTTTGATGGCATATTGTTTACATCTTATTTTACAGAGCTCATGATTATTTTCAAACGGTCTTCAAGATGACTGCTAACCTTCTCTAGAGATAACGAAACATTTGGCTGGCGTGAGAAGGGGGCGAATTGCCGCAGTTCATTCTGCTTTGAAACCAAGATGGCATTTTTGAAAATAAAGGGATTATTTTCTAGTCAAGACTATTTCATGGCAGGAACAGTTGCCTTATTGAAGAATCTGCTGAATAGGCCTGAGGTCAGGATGCAGTTGGAAGTTAGAAAATTCTGGATGCGCTGAAGCAGACACTTAAAAGAGTCTGCTTTTTTGTGTGATATCTCCTGTTGTAATGATGCTCTAGCCTTGGGGAGTTACTGGTAGCTGTAATGTGTTGTAATGCATTCTTTTTCCCCTGCTAGAATTAAATTTGTGTTTAAAAATCTTAGTCAGAAAGCACTGGTGGAAATGGGGAATAGCCAAACTGTTCTAAATGTGAACTGTGGTGAGTTTGCATGGAATGTGTTTTACCTTACATATGGAATGCCTAGCTCTTTACAATTATTAGAAAGTGATGCTCATCTATTCCATTTAAATATGCACCGATGATTTTTTTTAACCATTTCAAATAAATTAGGAATCACCTCTATGATAAAATTGGTCTTAAATAGGGACATAAAGAGCTGCACACAGAAAAAGTATGATAGAAATTATGGATTCTCGGAGGGGATGGGGGAATTCCAGTCCAAAAACACACAGAAACAGGCAAATGGTTAGTAATACAAAATGACACTTCGGAAGTGTGTCAGGCCTTTCACTCATCTGGTCAAGTCAGTGGGGCTACATTACTGGAAGCGGTTGGTGAATCACTTCCTTGGTATGGCAAAAATGCAAGTTGCGTTGAAGGCTCTACCCACCCCCATCCCTGCCAGTTGACAAAATAGTACTACAGCCTTATTCATCCCAATAGCTGTGTTGAGTAATCAGAAGTTTGGATAATTGAACATGCTTTTTTCACTAGTTTACCAAGACTTTCTCGCATTTCATGGTGGCAGAAAGTGCAATTAGATGAGTAAGGTCTTTGGATAATGAAGAAAACGTGTGTTTCATAGGTTTGTTGTGCAGACCTAGGCTTATTCAAGCAGAAGCAAGCCCCATAGAGTTCCGTGAGACTAACTAGAATGCAAATGTATCAGGATTGCAACTCTAATATCTAATTATTCATTGGCTGTACAGTGGTACCTCTGGTTACGAACTTAATTCGTTCCGGAGGTCCGTTCTTAACCTGAAACCGTTCTTAACCTGAGGTACCACTTTAGCTAATGGGGCCTCCCGGCGCCACATGATTGCTGTTCTCATCCTGAGGTAAATTTCTTAACCCAAGGTAGTATTTCTGGGTTAGTGGAGTCCGTAACCCGAGGTGTTTGTAACCCGAGGTATCACTGTACAGACTTTGAGCTAGTTGTGTATCTTTTTTCTTATCTGCCATGTACTTTTTTTACTTCACACTTTACTTAAATCCCATGTATTGGGGATTTATAATTATAATTATATTCCAAGGGGATAATCCAGGTTGTTATCATGACACATCTTTTGATAAAATGCTGTCATAAAGAATTCCGGAGCACGAACACATCCTTGAGTTATTTAAGTGATTCTGGGTTTTGCCTGTTCCTTCCCACCCCCACCCCCAGCCTAAGAAGTGCAAATCTTGTGATCAGAGAGAACCATGCTGTTGGGGGAGGGGAGAGCTGCCTTTCCTTGAAGGGCTATTTCTTTACTTCTGAAGCTTTCATAGCTCTGATGCTGTACTTACTGTTAGTATATGCTCTCACCCCCCAACCGGTTTGGGTGGGGGTGTGATGGCCTGCTTCCTAGCACTGATGCAAGGACTTAGACATCTACCACCATGACATTTTGTGTGGGGGCAAACGAGGTAGACAGTCTGGTTTGGTTTGGGTAGATGGCCCTGCAATATCTTGTATTCATACAGTGAATAATCATGTAGCTTCCAAGGAACAAGGGGTGAGCAAGCACCTCTGATCTTGCCAAGAGTTGCTGGTTCACCTTCAGTTCACTTTAGCTTTGGACTTAACTGCTTGCTAGAGTAAACAAACTGGATACTGACTTGAATTCAGGAATGTTATTTCAGAGAGGCTCTTACTGGGTGGTTTTGTGATTGTGTACTTCTCATCATGAGAGCATCCACTTGTTGCGCACTCAGCCATGGAAATGAATGGCATTCGCACAAGAGAGCAATGCTGGTCTGTGTATCTGCAGTACCTTCTAATAGGGCTTGTACAGACCAGGAGCATTGCTGTGAATAGTTGTTACTAGAACATTAGCTGGGATTGCGCTTGGTACTAATATAACCTCTATTCAGATTTCACATACATTCTGCTGGGCGTATCCAACTCCTGTTAAACTTGAAATTCCCTGTTTATGGCCGTGTTGGGTAGCTGCACAAGCGTAATCCAGACATGCTTGTCGTTGTCCTCAGCACTTGAACTGCTGCATTTGTTTACATGTTAAAAGGCTTAATCAAATATTAAAGTGGCTGCAAGTGAGTCTGCACTCCCTGACAACACTGGAAAAAGAATTCCCTAGCGACCTCGTTTTAGTACATAGTGTGAGCACCTCTTTGTGTACACGTAAACAAACACACACAAGTTCCTTTGCTGAAAAACAAAACCACCCATATAGAACATATTTCTGGATTTTACGTGTGTGTATTATAATTCTCCTTTCTTTTTTTCCTTGCAGGTGCATTTTGCTGCCTCTTCTCGGAGCCAAGCCCCCTCAACAAAGTCTCTTCCTCCTTGTAGATTCCGTGGATGAGGGATGTAACATTGCAGAAGGCGACCAGACATCTACGGGCTTATCTGGAACTATAGCTGAGCTTCTAGCTAGTCACTATGAGTTTTTCCCTCCATGGTTGCTGCTCCTGTGCTCTGCCCGGAAGCAGAGCAAAGCTGTTACAAAAATGTTTACCGGTGAGTACAAATACTAATGAAAATTTATCCTTTTCTGAAATGTTTTACTCATCACTAAATTTCAGCAATTAACTTTCTGGAATCTCCATTTTCTTGGAGCCTTTACCCAGTTGACAGCAGTTTGTACAGTGCTACATGGGTGTATCTACATGGATGCTGATATATTGTATGGGGTTTATTGTGCTGTTCTTCCCCAGTAAAAGAATGCATGAAACATGACAGCATTGAAGGCTTGAATCCACTAGTCTGGTGTGTGTGCAACACATTTTTTTTCCTGTCTAAAAATCTAGATTTGTCATCTTCTTCTCTGGGAGTTGAGGATTATCTTTTGCAAGCTCACTGTATGGGTGTAGCTGTATTTGATCCTGGGAGTATGCTGTTGGCAGACTATTGGGAATCTTCTACAACTTGTTGTTCCAGTCTTTGCTGAATTGTGAGCTCATTTCATCACTCCGCTGCTATTGTTCGTGGGATTTTTCTTAAACGTAGAGAAACATGAACACTGGATTCCCAGCCTTCATTTGAAACCAGCTTGAAATCAGGCAATGAGTGGAATAAAACTGAAGTTATAATAAAGCCTTAACAGTAAGAATAAATAGATTAAAAATCCCTGGTCTCTTCACCCTTACAGCAAAGCTCAATGATGCATTTGGTTATAATATTTGATTTCCAAAATTGATAAAGATTATTATTATTAATTTCTTAAAGGCATTAGTAATGCCAGCTTTTCTCCTGGGGCAAGCAGGAACTTCAGGGGTGCTGTGTATATATACTAGGTCTGAAGTGGGAGAGAGGAGAAGGGTTGAGACAGTCTGTGCACCATAGTCAAAATCAAGAATGCCTCCCTATGTCTCTTTAGAGGAGATTTAAAAACTGAGGTGCATTTAATTGTGCGATCGCACAGTTAACATATGGTGTTAGACAGTGCTATTTTTGTAGAAAAAGAGGTGCTGGAATTCACCACAAATGCCATCCTTGTTCTCTTATAATGGCAATGGCGCCCACCTGAGTTCCAGTGAGTGCTGGCTAAAAAAAGCCTTGGTGTTAGATATGGTGAAGTCTAATGTTGTGTGAGTGAACTTCTCCTTTCTCCCCTCCCAACCTGCAGTGCCTATGGTGAGAGGAAGTTCATTGTGTTAGGAGAAATTGGTTCTTCTTGCAGTGGCGTCACTGGTTTCAGCCATATTGTTTAGTTCGACCCTAAAATCTCTTCTTTGGCCTCTGTGTGCCATGCCAACCTGTCCTCCATGGATGTCACTGGCTGATTTGCTCTGTCACCACGGGACGTTGCAGGAAAGAGGGTGCAATGGTTTTTTGACTATCCATGACTTAAGTTGATTTGCTATCATAAAGAGTCCTAGGCAGTCTGTTATTATCATCATCATTTGTTAAACTTGTATCCCACCCTTCCTCCCATGGGAGCCCAGCAAAATATTTAAACGGTGCAATTTCAAATCAAATAAAAACATTTAAACGCAATCACATACCCTGACAGTTATTTATTTCATGGTTGCTATAACCAGTATATCTCGGCCATCTCATACCTGCGTAAACGGAAATATTTTCACGTATTTCCAAAAAATCACTTATGAGAGAGACAGGCACACCTCACCAGGGAGAGCAATTCCGCAAACAAGGAACCACCACAAGGAAGGCCCTGTCCCGGGTTAATGCCAACTGGTTGGCAGCAATGTAGGAGTCTTGGGCAAGGCATCTGAGTGGTGAGTTGGACTTGACCTACTATAACAGGAGTTCTGGATCTATGAATGACTTTTGTAAAACTTAACCTGAGCTATCATTTCCTGAATGGCAAGAGCTTTTGAACGGCACCATGTTTGAGTGAATTTCTTGAGCAGTTTCAGATCCTTTCAGTGAAAAGTGACAGGTTCCCTTTGCTGTTTAGGCATACAATTGTACCTTGTTGATAAGCATAGTAGCTTCTGCAGGGCCCACAATCCATCTGATAACAGCTTCCTTGAATGGAATATTTTATTAGCCCATGTGAATGTTTAAAAAGAAGGTGTGAACTTGAAAGCATACAGCTACTGCATTTTTGCTTTGCATCTCATTTCACTTTTTCATCTTTGAAGTATTCTTTTCCCTCCAACTCCCCCTGTCCCCAAAGGTATGAAAGGTTACAGGAAAACATGAATGAATTATGCTTCAGGGGCGCATCTTTCATTTCTTCAACCTTTGTATAACAGCCTCACCCATTGAATCTGGTTGCTCCTGATACTTGCTATAGGCACATCATTCAGGGTTGCAGCTGATCTTTCAGTCTCTGATACAAAGGTCTTGTTTCATAATTGATTTAAATCCTTTTCCCCTTCACTATTTCATATATTTCTAAAAAATGAGGCATTCAAATTTAGTTGATTCACTTAATTTAATTCACAAGTTAATGGAGCGTGTGTATTGTCTTGTGTATAATTTTATACATGCACACTAGGCTTTTTCTTATAAGTAGCTGCAGCAGCCATGATTGCTTTTCTCTGTAGCCTGAGAATAAATACATGCATTTGCACTGTGAGCAGCATTTTCCTCTCCTCTTTCCAGTGTTTTCTTTTTTGTTCCTCCTGCTGCTGTTCCCGTATTGCATAATTCTCCTGCCTTCCCCTTCCATCCCCTTCCTAGATACAAAAAAATAGGTAGCATTTCAGATATGTTGCTTCTTCCATCCAATGTGTACAGATGTGTCTTTGTTTAAGACAACTGAAGGTCGAGAACTTTCCAGAAGTATGTTAGTATGTAGTTGGTTACAGGGTGGAGCAGTTTATTTTCAGAAGATGAAAAGGGAAGGTTCCCCTTCTTTATAGGCAAACACACTCATAATTTTGAGTAGTGAGCAAATTGCAGAGCTAAGGCAATTTGAAATAAAACTTTTGCATAGTTTTCATAGCATGTATTTTACAGCATGCATGCATTTTTGTCCCTTGCAAGAGGAAAGGATCATAGCTCAGCAACAGAGGAGGAGGGGGGAGGAATTTATTTGGTCTGTTTTTCTCAGAAGACCAGTCTGATGTGATGATGCTGAATTTGCCTGTGGGTCGGAATGCAACTCCTATTCACATTGCTCTCTTCTTTCTCTCATTTTTGCAATGCAGTTTTGGTGTGCAAAAAGTGCATGCAAGTAGATGCATCCTATTTATTTTCAAAGCATTGAAAGGAGCATATTTTCTGTAAGGGGGGAAAAAAGTGCTTACAAAATCCATGCCATTTAAATGTTTTGTGGATTCTGGAAAAAGAAATGCACACAAAACAGAACGCAATGAAGCTACAATTGAGTGCCAGTGAGACCAAATGGAACAGAGTGGCCTGTACAGCCCCACTTACTTTATCTCTAGATTTCCCAGATTCTTGTCACCACCATAAAACACTGCCTAAATATTGGAAATGCACAAACAAAAATCAAAACAACCTGTGGGCTGAAAAGTCACCTACAAATAGGAAGATAGCTATGTACAAGAAGTGACAGTTTTAGACAACAAATTCTCTGTATTTGGGATGTAAACCCAAGTACCTATGATGTGAACATATAAAAAGCTGTCATATCAAATTGGAACATCCGCCCACTGAGCATAGTATCATCTGCTCTGACTGACAAGTGTTATTCAGTGTCTCAAGTACAGAAAGCACATGAACTACCACTATGGATGGACTGAGAAGCACAATTCCCCCCTGAGTTTTATGACAATGTATGGGATTCTCAGTGAAGACACTTCCTACATTAAAATTATTATGGAAGTCATTAATAACATTAGCTGTAGCCAATGTCAAAACATTTTAGAAGTCATATTGATGGATTTGCACTGTCCAGTTGATATCAGTGGGGCTTAAGTGTTTAATCTTTCCTTGATTTTGCCTTCTTATTGAAAAATTACTTACTGTACTATGAAAGCAGTAAATTAAGTTTGAGATTATGCAATTCACATCTGTAACCCTTGGTAACAATTTTGTTCCAATTTGTGATCGTTATGAATAAAAAATGTTTAAGTTCAAAATATGTCCATTGAAATGAAAGCTAGAAAAAACATTTTGTACTTGACTGTAAGTGTTTATAAACAGTTACATTTTTAAAAAGAAGGCATTAAAATACCACCTGTGCCTCAAAGCCAAGTAGCTTCAATAAGCGTCTGATTCTAAAATACCTGAAGCTATTAATTTATCATGGTATACTTGCTTGCTTGCCAAGTGTCAAGTTTCTCAAAGGAAGTTATTTTTAGATGTTCATCCAACACATTTTTAGCAGGCAAATTCATTTTTACAATATTTCTGTTATTAGCTTGCCTTTTATTTTGGAAAAATAATCAAAGTTGCATCTAGACTATTCCTAAGCTGTCCAGATGCATTTTTTAAAAACTATTGTTATTTTCACATTTCAGCCCTACTAATAGGGACATCATAAAATATGCTGCATGTTAGCAACTTAAAATAAAGCAGTAGCAACAAATGATGTTTAACAACTTTCCTGATAAGTAAAAAGATTTAACAGTTGAAACTAGCTAGCACTGTATTGGGAAGCAATACAAAACTTTTTCTTAAAGCATTGGTACAGTTCCACCATGTTGGTAACTGCTAATTAAATTCCAGAATGGGGAGAAGAGACAGCAATACAGGTATTTTTCAGCGGCTTGTTCAGTATTCATTCAGCTGATCTAAAGAAGCTTCATGGGACCAAATTAGCCAACCTACAAAACCATCATATGGGTCTTCTTCTTCTTCTTCTTCTTCTTCTTCTTCTTCTTCTTCTTATCACTCGTAGCCGATTAAGATTGTCTTCCATAAACATGGTTTTAACAATGAGTCCGTAGGTGACTGTGGAGGCCAATTTTGGATCCACACGTCCTTCCACAGTGGGGACATTGGTTTCCAGGCAGCAGTTGATCACAGTGTGGTTTTGCCAAGCGTGCCTTCCTCTTAGCACGTTTCTCCCTTGCATCCTGAGTTCGAATGGGTAGGGTGTTTGTCAAAGCTGTGTAGAAGAGAGGAATTTTCTCATT